TGCATTAGTACTACAGTAGGTTAAATTCATTTTGTAGATCATTACTCTTCTGTTTTTTAAACTTTTCAGAAATTAACATAATTTAAATTATGTTCATACAACATTGTTGATATGCAAATAYTTAAGTATAAATTATTTTATTTTAAATATTAATATTATTGTTATTTTATACATTAGTATTAAATATTATAAGAGGTAAAATAGATATTAAAAAATATTGCCTATTACTTATTAAAAAAACAGTTAATATTTAAAAAAATGTACTTAGGTATTTTTTTTCAGTATTTTATCAAAAAAATGCTCAAATTATATGATAAATGATAACATTTTTCTGTTCTGAGTTGAGTAGGAAAAATATCTCAAATGATAGAATCAAGTGGTTCATGATAATACAATATTTAATTAAGTAGATTAATTCAAGTTAACAAGATGATGACTAATATAAAATATAAGTGATCTATTAGTGTTTTTTTTTAATTACAATAAAATCAATGGATCTGATGTTTTTATAATAGGCATTTAAAATACATATTTACTGTACAATTATTATTATTATTATTATTATTATGATATAGTTCATTACACTGTAGTACTTGCCTAATCTTTATAAAATTAATAAAATGTAATTTAAATATTAATTATCATATTATATTATATAAAAAATACATTATACTTTTATGTTTTTTTTTATTCTGTATGGTTAGAATATAATATCATTAGATATAAGAATTAGTATAGATAATAAAACTATATATCATATAAGTCCTCCAAAAAATTTTGATTTATAGCACCAATTCTGATTTAGATATAAAAATGAAAGTGTATGTAATTTGTGCAAAAATAAATAAAAATATGCTGAAATTCATTATACCTTCATGGTATACATTTTATTTTAATATCATATAAATATTTTTTAAAACATTTAATTCAAGTTTAACATATCTTATAAAATACATTTTAAAAATAAAAATAAATCACTTCAATGTCACCGTCTTACCTATCCGTTTCAACATTTTTATTAATTAAATTAAATGTTATTATCCCAGTTATTATTATAATATTTTGTTTTTTTAATAGTTTAAGTTTTTAAACATTTCTCATGTTGTGTTTTTAGAGTATGTTATTTAAATTGTATAATTTTGTTTAAGTTTCTGTTATGTTAAACGTTTTATGATTTTTTGATTTTTTAACGCTTTARAAAAAAATAGTCTTACATCTATGATAAAAAGTAAATGTTATTCATTTAAGTCTAATGTGTTATAGCTGATACGAGCTTGGAAGATTTATCAGATGACTTTTATTCATTGAAATTGTAAGTGTGGCGCAGATTACTTATACCATTTTGTTTTCTGTCATGGCGCAGATTACTAAATTTAATATTTAGGCTTGGCACAAGTTACCTACATGTTGTTTGTTATTGTTTTACGCAAATAACATAATATGCGTTCATATACCTATTGGTTACACAAATTAAAGATTAAATGTGTAAATTACCATATSTTCTGATTTTTAATGTTAAATAAAATTCCCTCCTCCCCAGTTTATACTTCCCTGAGTTCTGACTCATAAGTACTTAAAAAAATATTATATTTTATATTAGGCATATCTTCTTATTTTTATGAAAAGTGTAATGAGTCATTGTTATAAGTAACTYACCTAAATAAGAAAGTAGTACAAATGACATAGGGTTTATAAATAAATAAATTAGTTTAAGTTATAAATGATGATTTTTATTGGTGTTTTTACAATTAAAACTTTTTTCAGGTGTTTCAAGTTTGGAATCCGAGTTGTCAAATTTTAATATTTATTTGGAAAAAATATATTCTTCTGATTCAGATGTATTATTAGCTATTAAGGTAAAATAGTTTTAGATTATGTTTTTATGATATGTATTATAAATTTATAAAAATATCACTTTTCTTTTTAGAAATTAAATGTATCTATTAAATACTTAGAAAATCTATCGGATGTAAATTTATTGGAAAAAAATGATATCCTGGTCACCACTTTATTTGAAGAACTTGCAGTCAAACGACCATGTTTTAGGTGTGTTAAGTTAATTTTTTTAATTCATGATTTTAAATATATTAAAAACAATTATTCATTCAACGTTGTATTTAGAATTCTTGGCCGTCCAGCTTTACTGGAATTGGCCGAAAGCCCTAATGGTTTACAGGGCATTAATCGCCATCGTTATTGCAATGCTCTTGTTGGTGCCATTGTCAGTGTTACAGGAATTCAAAAGAGAGATGAAATGGTATTTGTTATATAATTTATTAATCTAATCAAATTATATTTCATATATTTGTTTTATCATTCAGGCACGTCTTCTGAGTTTGATCCGTTGGATGGGTGGTAGTTTTCGAGAAAGTATTAATTACAAAACTACTCATTTGGTGTCTGGTTATGCATGTAGTGCTAAATCCCAATATGCATATTTGCATGAAATTCCTGTTATTGGATCTTCGTGGCTTCATGCAGCATGGGAGAGACGCGATGAAATAGACTTCAAAGCAATCAATTCATCATTCGTAAGTATTTAAGTATATGAAAGCCAAACATATTTTGTTTAAATTTGTCAATAGTTATGAAGAATATTTTAAATTTCAAAAAAAAAAAAAAATAGTTTTCAGAACACAAGCTAAAACCATTCCATGGAGCCAAAATATGTTTTTCAGGGTTCACGGAAGAAGAGCGATCACATATGGTTGATGTTTTGTTACAAAATGGGGGGACTCCAATAAGCGATGAAAATGATACAGAATGTACTCATCTGGTAAATATTATTTGAATATTTTGATTTTGCACTGGGAAACTATAATAAATGTATAAGGTGTGTTGTATCATACTGTTAAGACAACAAAATAATGGCCAAAGTTGAATTAATTAAATTATTTATTCATGATATATCTAAATTTATTCCTAATATTAACAGAAAACTCTGAGACGGATTCTGAATTTGATCTAAAGCACAACTATATGACAGAAACCTGGGCAAAACTCATGTTTTTGCTTTAATCTGTATTTATAATAATACTGTGAAACTTTCATTTAACAAAATGTTGTTGTAATTTTTTTAATGAATTTCTCTATATCACAATTTTTTTTGTTTTTTTTTGCTATTTCACTATATGAAAGTTTCACTGTATTGCTTTTGCTGTGCACAAGACTACTAACCTTAATGTTGTGCATAGATAACGTGTATTATGTATACATGCAAAATATTGATGGGGTTTGCTAACAAATTTTTGCTTATTTATTTTTAATTTTACAGAACAAGGCTATTTTTTTTTAACATTTTGTGTTTGTTGGTGTTATGTTTTTTCTGTTTGCATGTCAGGTTACAAAAGAAGGTTCTAGTCCTTTAGGCGACCGAGATCCAAATACAACACCGTGTTTACGAGGTGTTTTGGCTCCTAAAAATCTAATTCAAGCATTTGATAAAGAGGATTCAAGTCCTAATACTCGAAATGGGGGGTTAAAAAGAACACTGAGTGTGGTAGATGGTGGAAATTTGTCACATGAAACCAAGAAGATTCGCCTTCAATCTTTAGACATGGATTGCGATGAATTTTTGTTTAAACATCCCAATCCTATGTCAGCATGTTTGGATCAAACCGATCAAACTTTGGTATATATTTTTGACATTAATTTAAAAAATATAAAACATTTTGTACACTAGTATAAAAGTAAAWACTAAATGAAAAATGTATTAGGTAAAATAATAATATTCCTATGGTATTAATAAATTAATTTAAAAAATTTGAATTTTACCTAACCTATAATCATAAATTCTGGTATAAATACCTAATTGATGGTCTTAATTTAAATAAAAATGTTAGTTTAGTTGTACATTTCAATTGAATATTGCTTAGTTTGTTTCTATAATATCTAAACAATATTAATAGTTTTGCTCTTTTTACTTTATAATCAAACTAACATTAATTAATCATTATGTCTAAAACTACATAAATTTATTATTTTAGTTATGAAATAAACCTGATAATTTAAAATAGTATTTTTTTTTCTGTTATTTAACAAATAAACATATTAAACAGTAAATAATAATGTATGTAACTAAAGTTTGAAAAATTAACCAGATTGATTAAAAACAAAATAATATACAAGTATTTTGTTGTAATTGAAAATTAAAATATTCTTTTTTTGTTCATTCAAATTATTAAACTAACTATTTTTGGATTAATTGAATTAAGTTCTATAAACTGCTAATAACAATAACAAGTTTTAAATATAACACGCATGAATGCATGATGCACAAAATAAAATGTTTGATCATTATTTCAGTCAAACCACTATTTGGTTAAAGTTGCACTTTTGATAGAGAAAAAATGTTTAAAACCAGTGTATGTATGATACAGTATATGAACCAGTATCAATAAATCATCTGTCGATATTATTTGTTCTTAAAGACTGATGAATACTAAGACCGGACTTCATCCATAATTACTACTTTTTTTTATCTTGGTATCTCTAAATTATTTAAGATTGGACATTCCTAATGTTTCTTTTACAATCATGAAAATTCGATTATCTTATTTTTTGTTTTAAATAATTTTAATGTATATAATGAATAGAGTTTTGGTAAAGTGTCTATTAGTYATACAATTGTGTAGTGTATTATTGAAATGCCCAATAAAAATTAAATTGATATTGTTGAATGTCCTTAAACATAAAAAGGTGATATTAAAGAAAAATTAAGTATATCCAGTTCTATTTATTTATACTTTYAATATTTAAAAATAAAATTTTATAAAAATATAAAAACTACAACTTCTTTAATATTCTCTTCTAATTGATTGTTAACTTATTTTAATGGTTTGTGGCTGTAGGAAAAATGAATACATAAAAAACAAACCATGCTTTTTACATTTATCCCTAAACACACATATTATGATGTYGTGTTTACATATTAAATTATATTCATTAACTCTATTTTATTTTTTCTCCTTGGATTTCAAATTGTGAACATTTGAGCTGCTGCAATATGATTCATAGCTCTGTTTATCACTAACATAATATATAAAATTAACATTGCATCGCTATTAATTATGCTTAATTTTTATATCATTAACATTATTTATAATTTTTAACAAGCTATTAAGAGGACTTCGCACCCGCATRTGTTGTCTCCGTCTTACACACGTACGACATAGGAAATGTTCGTTCGCTAGTTTCAATAGGGTATTGTCAATTTTGATATTAGAGTGAATCCACCTATTATCAAACTTTTAGGTAGCAACATTATCTGTGTTCTTTCGTTGGTTTTTTCAATATTTTAATTTTTAAGTGAGTTATGGGTATGTAAATTATGAATATTTTAAAATGTTCATAACTCACTTAAATTAAAATTTTGTAAAAACCAACGAGAGAACACAGATGATGTTTCTACCTAAAAGTTTGATAGTAGATGGATTCACTCTAATATCAAAACTGACAATACCCTATTGAAACTAGCAAACGATAATTTGCTAGGTTGTACGTGTGTAAGACAGAGACAACACAGGCGGGTTAGACGTCCTCTTAACTACAATATTTACTATAGGTTTTAAGTATTAATTAACTATGAAGTCTTCTATTTAATTTGTATATTGTGTTTAAGAGGACACTATACTTGCGTGCGTTTTCTCCATCTTACAAGTACGCAACACAGTAAATTTACTCTCAGCAGATCACTTTARCTTCATTAGTTCAAAAATTAAAGTGAATTCACTTCTTATAAAATTTAAAAGTAAGATAATCATCTGTGTTTGTATGTTGGGATTTTACAATAGTTCAGTTTTTAAGTGTGTTATGAGTTTTTTTAATTTACACTATATTGTATACAGAAACTTGATATAAAATTGAACCATCTTAAAAACACAGATAATGTTCTTCCCTTTTAATTTAAGAAGAAGTCAATTCACTTTAATTCTTAAAATAACAGAACTAAACGTGATTTGCTGAACATAAATTTGGTATGTACATACTTGTAAGACAGACACACACATGGGTATGGCACATTACATGTATTAGCTGTTTAATGGGGWACCGTAGAGAATGATTGTCTAATAAAAATTGATTAAAATCATTAAAAAGGTGAATTTCACTTCATTAGCTTACAATCTCAATTTCAGATCTGTCTTCAGATTAAAAATAGTCTACTTTTTCATTCTCATTGGATATGTCTAAAATTGGTTTTCATGTTTGCGTGTGGTTTGGTGCTTTACAATTTGACTTTATAATTATTCAGTTTAACAAAAAATAATGTGGTATTATGTTTTTAGTTTATCAATATTCTTGCTGATTAGGTAATAACTAATAATACATACGATATAAATAATTTAAAATTTTATTCAGTTTTATTTTCATTAAAACATTTTTATTCGTCAGCAGTTTTTCTTTTAATTTTTGGTATATGTATATTTTATATAGTTGAGAAACAAATTGTGTTTTTCGCAAATACAAGGTGTCCCRTGAGGATTTACCCATTGCGATATCTCCCGAAATAATAGTAATATAAAAATTCTGGTTTTGTAATAAGACTCACAGGGATAAGAACTACAATTAGTTCATATTTTAATTTATTTCAATGTTATGGTAAAATAGTTAAAAAAATATATTTTTTTATTTAATTATTTCCAAAAAAATTGACCATACCAATTTTGTAGAGTTAATTATTCTGAAAATATTGACGTTTTAAAATTTTATTTACATTAATTTCCTGGTTTTTAATTTTTTTTTTAGTTTTGAGAAAAATTGCAAATTATTTAACGCTGTTATGTTACCCACCGGCACGCGTGCATTCCCATAAGGCCGGCCCAATACTTTCAGTGTTCCTAATAGTTATAATTGTATTTTATTCCTTCAAAACTAGAAAAAATACTAATAATCAGGGAATTAATGAAAATAAAATTTTGAAACGTCAATATTTTAAGAAAAATATACTCTACAAAATGGCTATGGTCAATTATTTTGGAAATAATTGAATAAAATATATATTTTTTAAATTTTTTACAAAARCATTAAAATAAATTTAATAATTGTAGTTCTTATCCCTGTGAATCTTATTATAAAACCAGAATTTTGATATCTCCATTATTTTGTAAGTTATCACAATGAATAAATCCTTATGGGACACTGTATTATGTTTACATTATTTATAAATATTCAAAAATCATTCAATAAATTCCAGTAAACTATTAGCACTTGTATTTATCAAGTAAACCATTATTAAAAACTAATAAAAATGTTATGGATTATATATTTTTAAACAATTATGCTAATTTAAATTTTGTTAAAGAATAATTTTGTCAACAAAAAAATAATTCATAAAATTGATATATTGTTCTATGTTGTATGTATGACAAAGTTGTCTTAAAACATTAGTTCTATCCAAAATATTAATGTTTGGAAAAATGATCTGTGTGACTATTTGAATTTATTAGAGGAGGCAAAGTGATAACATTTTGATATTATTAAAAAAAACTTCTAATATTAAATATAAGTCAAAATTATACACTTTTTAATAATATTTAACTTTTTTTTTAAATTTAAATTTCATACCAATAAAAAAATATTAAAAAAATATTGCTCTCTAATAATAATAAAATCTATTTTTGTTAGTCATCATACTTAATGTATTATTTATAACATATTTTTAGGTTGTTGATGAATCTTCATTAGATTCGATTCCTCCTGTGAAGAAGAACAATGCTGAAATCCTGAAAGAAGCATGGTTCTGGACATCTGTACAATACCAGAGTTGCGCCTTAACTAAAGAATATTTATTAACCAATGTAGGAACTTGTTTTAAAATTTCTTAATATTTAACTTGTTTTAAACCCATGCAACTTATATTGGTTTAGTTAAATGCGACCAACACACCTACATCTACTCGTGTTATGTCATCTACATTGACATTAAGTTCTTCTTCTCGTGCACGCAAAAGAAAAAGGCATTTAGACCGTTTGGGTTCTTTGTTAAGGCCTAGTCCAACACCTGTGGCAACTATTGGTGAAACATCGCCAACAAACAGTTCAGGGCCGTCAAAACGACGGTCATCAGCTGCCAATACCCTTGATGGCCTAAGGTTGTCGTGTGGATCATTTTTAAACTTCACAAACAGCCCAGATCATCCATCGCCCTTTAAACTACCAAAAGGTAAAGATTTTGTGATAATATTACAATAGCAGTGTATTTGAATTTAGATTGTATTTATAATTTCCAGATCCAGATTTAGTTATAAAAGATAAACCATTTAGCCCGCGATATCAAGTTTTCTCTGAATTATTACAAACTGAGATTAACTATGTGGGAGTGTTAAACACAATAATTACTGTAAGAATTTTTTATTAATTTATATTTATTAATTAATTATTTTTAATTTTCATTGTGCTAGTTATTTATTTTCCTAATTCAGCTAATTATTTAAATTTAAATTTTGTTCTTAGGTGTACAAGGAACCATTAGAAGAAATGATAGACAAAGAAGACTGTTTGCTTAATAATACAGAAATTAAAATTATATTTGGAAATGTTTTACCTATTTATCAAGTACATCAAGAGATGTTAGAAGAGCTCAAGTGTCTTGCTACATCTTGGCAAGAAGATAGTAGTATAGGCAGTGTTTTTCTCAAATATGTAATGCTACACATTTAATTCTGGATTTTGCTATTAAAATATATTTTTAATTTTTAATTTTTTAATTACTTTGTAGTCCAGCGAATTAGTGAAAGCTTATCCACCGTTTGTGAATTTTTTTGAAAAAACAAGGGAGATGTTATTACAGTGTGACCAAACAAAACCTCGTTTTCATGCTTTCCTTAAGGTCGGTCAGACAAGGCCCGAATGTTGTCGACAGAGTCTTCAAGAACTTCTCATTCGACCTGTGCAACGCTTACCCAGCGTTAGCCTACTGTTAAATGGTGAGTATTGTGAAGTGGTTCAAATTGTTTGTTATAACGTAGAACATCATAACCTTTCACTTAAATTCTATAATTAAATATTTTATAGATATTTTGAAACATTCTGATAAGAATAATCCTGATCACCAAGCCCTTGTATCAGCCTTAGCGAGTATACGTGAAGTAATGACTCATATTAATGAAGATAAAAGAAAAACTGAAGGTCAAGTTGTTCTTTTTGATATATTTAATGATATCGATAATTGTCCTGTGAGTATACTATTAATTGTATTTTTTAAGAATGGTACTCAGATTTGTGTTTAATTGTTTTGTATTACATCAAGTATTTTAACAATTTTCATTTTTTGTTTTAGCCTCATTTAGTTTCTTCACATCGAAGTTTTATTTCAAAATGTGATGTGGTTGAGTTAAGTGATAATCTTAGTGGTCGTGGGGATCATCTAACAATATTTGTTTTTTCAGATGTTGTCGAAGTAAGAATTTTATATTGATTCTTCAAAGAGTATATAAAAATGTTATATGATGATTGTTGATTTCTAGGTCTGTAAAAAAAGAAAATCATTTAATGGAAAAAGTCCAAAAGAACCAAATTCTGGTTCACACAAATTAAATGGTGGTGCCAAATCTTATAAACATATCAAATTGATGCCGTTAAATATAATCAAACAAGTTATAGATATTAAAGAGACTGAAGGTAAATAAACTCTTCTATAATATTTGTAGTGAAGAACTACATTTTAGAGATCAATTTTTTCCTAATTCTATCTTTCTGTATATCATGTTATATATAATAGCTCTGTGTGGATGAATATTATATTTTTAGAGAACACAATATTTTGATTAATTGACATGTTCTATAAAAGTGTAATATACCTAATTTACATTAAGAAGTTGACATTTATTTTCACTAATTTTAATATCAGAACAAATTAGGTAGACCTACTACCAAATATAAAGATAACCTACACAATTGTCTTTGTTCTGTTGAATATTATTTTTATGATTTAATTTTATAGSATGTTATAATCTTGTAAAATTTTATTATTTAATTATTTTCATAGTTCAATTCAAAATTAAAATTTCAAAATAACACCTCTTGTAAAATACAACCTTAAAGTTTAGGACTAAGTCACTGAATGGCTATCTTGTTGATTATTTAAGAAAAAAAAAATGGCTCGTGCACCCAAATGATCGCGCTTCCTTTGTTTCGTCATATGTGTAGGTTAGGTTTCTTTCATGGTATAGTATACTTCCTATCAATGAATTGTTAGCTGCTGAAAAATGTGACATACTCGCATATCTGTCATATTCTAGTATAATCATTTTTATATTATAACCCTATTATACTAATAAATTATTAAATATCCCCCAAACAACAATTTAAAACAGTGTATGATAGTGGTTCTTAACCTGTGTTCCGCGGAACCCTWGGGTTCCGTGAAAGCTTAAAATCGCAAAAGACATTTAAATTCCCACAATTGGACCTGAATATTAAAATGATCAAATCTAAAAATTTAACAGCTCAATATAAATATCTTGATAAGAATAGTCGACTGGTTTGTGTGTATGGGGCATGAWAAAATTGCATGGCAGGTAAATAAATAGTGGACTGTGGGATGTGACTTACAAATGTTGTCGGAATGCCAATATTTTGAATATTTTGACAAAATTCACAAAAATTTTMTAATTCATTTTTAGTTATTTTATTATTATTAATTTATATAAATTTGAACAAAGTAGGTAACAAAGTTTTCTGAAACTATTTTATTTTGTTACATTGACTCATGATATTAATACTAATGATAATTTTTATTTTATTAATTTTTACAAGTATGTATAAGATATAAAGAAAATTAATTTAATTTAATTCATTGGTCAACAAAATTGCTCCCATAGATTTTGTRTTGGCTGATGTAATATTAATATTTTAAATAATTCTATGTAATATCAAATTATTCTTTTTCCAGACTGTCGTAATACATTTTCATTAATGATTATTGACAATCATGACTTTAAAGAACGATTATATACATTCACTATGACTGGAAGTAATTGCAGTGCCAATCATAAAAATATTTTCTTAAAAAATATATCGCAACAAGTGGCCAACACCGTGTGTTCTGTAAGTATGCGAGTGGTTTAGAAAGAAACATTAATAAATATTTATTCAATCTTTGTTTTATTGAATTTAGGGMAATATATTAGTGTCATTAGACTCTCAGCAATTGGACATTGATACAAGTGAAATTACTACTGGTACTCTTGGGAAAGCTTTCAAGTAAATTATTATGATAATGTTGATTGTATAAAATTAATATAAATATGTATATATACTAACAATTCCCTATTTGATGTACAGGTTTGCAAGCAGAACACGCATTAAAGTTGGACGGGCATTAAGCTTTAATAAAACTCCTAGCAAGTTGAAACGAGCTGTGTCTACAATGATGAGTCCTGTTCTCAGCTTAACTAACAATGGAGGGCTGGGTACACATGCCCTTACTCCGTCCACTCAATTAGCCAATATGCATTTAGCATCGTGCACCAATTTAAATGTGAGCCCATTAAATGAGCGTAATTATAGACGTAGTTGTACACTAACGAAAGTCAAGAAACATGTCAAACGCAATTCTAAATTGCGAATGTCTAGTTAATTTTTCAGTCGGAGATCATTTGGAGAAGATAACATGTGTAGTCTTTTGCTTTATAAAAAAAAATTAATTAAAAATCTTACCTTATTGGATCTCAATAAAATAAATAAGGTACTTGACAATTTGCTTTACTTGTTGAACCAGCTTATTGTGTCGATTAACCTGCAATGTCCATATATGGGGTAAAGACCTTTTATGGTTGAATGTATGCATGTATGTTGTGTTACTTTTATTATTTAGGTACTACCATATTAAGTACTAAATAATGAGCATGGGCTATAATCAATTTTTATTTTGTATACAATTATATTGCATATTACATAAATTTTGGAAAGGCTTTGTTAATATCGCTTTTCCTCTTAAAGATATAATTGCTTGTTTTTTATACAAAAATAATTAAATTTTACTATGTTATTGTAGTTGAGGTTATAAAAGAGGGATGTATTTAAAATGTATGTTGTATCAAGCATTATTTAAACTTATAATTTTAAAATAGAAAAATTATTTTTATAATTTTTAAAAATAATGTAAGACTAACCAATAAAATAAATTTTATTAATTATTGCTATAAATTATTAATGATTACTTAACAATTTCAATTTTATTAATTTCCAGGGTAATTTTTTGTATTATAGTTTCTAAAATACTATTGAAAATCATGCTATTTAGTGTTTGGTACACCACAACAGATTTATTTGTTTTAAAATATCTAACATTAAAATTAATCACAATTTTTTTATAATTATAAAATTTTGTAAATGTTCGTTTTTGGATATTATTTTAATCTCATACTTRTGCAATTGACGTATTGTTTAATTATTATGTTAAACAACTATACTTTGTTTCTTTGGTTTTATAATTTTAAACATTAATTTTATAATATGTAATAAGTGTACCTGAATGTTCATTATGTTTAAACTTTTGTATCGYTAGTAATTTAGTTATATTTTCAGTTATTTCATTTTACATGAAATAATTTTGTTCACATTTTAAATTATCATATTATTATGTTAAACAATAGAATAMAAATAATATCAGTTATCATAATAGTAATAATATTTTACAATATTCTKAAGTACTGAATTTTAGTTATTTTTTATTTTAGGAAATGTCATCAGATGACCATACGTTTCCATCGCCACCTTTGTCAGTTCAGCCAAATAGAAAAAATAAAACGTCGATATTAAGTCTATCTTCGGCGCCCAGGTAGCGTCCAACAACCTATCGATACCTGGTWAACACTTTTCGAAACTCAAAAAATTTTGTTTCGATTTTAAACCGTCAGTATCGATAGTTATATTATATTATTATAATAATTATGTTTTAAAACTCAATTTTAAATTTTTTTTAAATTAATTATTTTATTATTACATTTTTTGTTAGTATTTAAGATTTGTATAATAATGTTGTTTTCAACTTTTCCCAAGACATTCTTGCCCCAAAATWTTCTTATCCTATACCTACTTCATTGTCAACAATCGTTCATTTCATAAATTCCATTTCTACAAGAATAAATGTTTACCATACATGTTTACTTGGTTTTATACTGAGTATTTTAAAGTTACCATGGTATATACTTTTGTAGTCTGAATTTATACATTTACATACATTTTATGTGAACAATTTTATTTTTAAATCTTAAAACATAAAACTCAAAACGGTGCTCAAGTATTTGATCATTAACTACCTTAAGCTCAAACAATAACTTTTATGTATACTATGTGTGTGTTAGGGATTATATATTTTTATATATTTTTAAATTTATTGTATAAATGTAAATATGACGATTCAATTTTTGTGATTTTTGAGAAAAATGTATGAAATCAAAATTAAAATAACTTCATGTATGAATTACATTTTATATGTAAAATAATAGTATAAATATTTAATAAAATATTATTATATTATTGCTATCAATTGTCGAACCCTTCTTTGCCTTAATTCCTTTATTAAAATATTTCATGTTAAAATTATAAAGAAATGTTATGTAATACTGTTAGTACTTAATGTTTTTAAACATTAACTGTTTTACCTGCTCTAAGGTTTTAAAACATAATGGGTATAATAATGGTAAAAAAATGTAAAATAATAAGTATTAATGCAAAATGTTTAATGAGTTATTAGTAGAACCAGGATTTATATGCATTTGCATGTTTATGGGGATTTCAAATGTCAATGGTTCATATACCAAATTTAAACACTAAATTGTATATTACATATTTTGCATATTTGTTCATAAATGCATGTTTAATGGCTTTTTAATAAATWAACTTTTAACAAACGCAAACTCTTGTCAAAAACAACATGTTATTGGCAGATTTGACTTTTTTAAAATCTGTATCATTTAAATTTTTGCCAGCAACTATTTAATTATTAACATTATTATATTACACATAATTACTATTATTTTTTATTATAATATGATTAAAAAAAAAAAAAAAACAGTGTACCTATATAACCATACATAACAATAATTATTTTTAATACTTTTTAATTAATTAACTCTTTATACAATCATACATAATAATTATTATTTTTAATATTTTTTAAATGATTAACTCTTTATATTTATTATTATTATTATAATTAAAACAATACAATCACACACATTTTTTTGGGAGACTAYTTAGCGAACCTTCGCGTGGTGTMTTCTGGGTAACGCTAATAGGCTGAAGGGACTCAACTCGAACTACCTAAAAATATTGTTCGGACTCATCTCCGATAACCAAAAGTGTTTGAGGAACTCATTTCAATATTTGGGACTCAATGTTATCCGTTCAAATAGATATTACCTTTAAAACATAATATCTTGCGACCTGCATGCTTTTAAGATGTTTTCAGTAAAGGTATATCTCGCTGTACCGCATACAATATTGAAGGAAACATGAAATGCATATTTCGGCGCGAKTTGATTAATGATCACAAAATGTATGATTATTAGTAGAACAGTTAACCGCATTTATTATTGATACAAAAAAACAATTCGGATTCGTATGATACGTAAATATTATAACAATTATTCCTCAAGATTTTTAATTAAATATTCGTTGATCGCGCTGTACTCTGGAATTGTTCGTCGATCTTACTTGTACGTAGTGTAGGGACGTATATGTAGTGATTTAATTGTGTTCCTATTGAATATCTTTCAACTGGAGTTTGTATTTCGTTATCTCCGAGGGTGCGAAAAAATAAATAGTTTTCCAACAATAGTTAACAACATACTAAACGTCGTCGGTCGTAGTCACCATCATCTCTCTAACTTGAATCAGAGTTGTTCGTTCCGGTGTCGATGTGATGCCGTCGCCTTAGTGGCTTCACTCCCCCGTCACACTTCATTGCGAATTTCCATTCTAAAATCAACGCTTCTTTCGGTGTTATCTGTAACGAGAGCAAAATCAATACTTGTCAACTACATATTCACTCGGATCCGATCCGAACAGACGAGGCATTGACTTGCAACTCGTTGGTTATCGGACATAAAGTGATTTGAAAAAAGTTCGAACTCATTTTTTAGTGCCAAGTCAGCCGGGCAAAATGCTCTAAATTAAAAATTATACAATTTGAAATATGAAAAAAATCATATGCAAATTGTCTGATTCAATAATTATATTTTATTATCATATTATAGCCTATAGGTACCTATAACCTACAAATTACAATTTACAAATATTGTTCCGTTTATGAATAAAAAGTATGTTTATAAATTAATATATAGGAATTTAAAATAAGTTGTGCACGTTTTATTTTTATAGTTCTATTCCTTTCTATCCCCCTCCCTACCCAAGCTTCCTTTGAAATTTAACTGTAAGCTTCCAAATGTCTGATTAGAATATGCAAACCTCCCGGCTTCCGGTTTTTGCAAAATATTATTTGTTAGCTGGTTTTCACGAGAACGAACCGGAAAGGCTACAGTATAATAACCGAGAGACGATAACGAYGAGAACGTTTACTGTACACTACGTTACCTCTTCTTCAATGGCCACTTTCCGGATGTTCCACAAAAACTCCAATATGGAAAACATAAACGCAATTAAACACCCGAGAACCAGTACTACGAAAACGCCACCGATTTTAGTAAAGCCGAGTTCGTCGCTTTCATCTTCTTCCTATATGGGTAAATAATAATGATAATGATAATATTAGAAAGTAGAGACAATACAACAGGTGTTTAAATTTTCGTCGTTTGCTTCGGGAACCCACCTCGCATTTATTGTCACCTTGGACTTTCCACCATTTGTCTTTGAGCTCTCGCATGAATCCGGACTCTTGTAATCTCAACACCGATTCACTAATCAGCGTACGATACGGGGAATCTTAAAAGAAAAATAACAGATTACGTTATAGTGTTATACAATATACCTAGGTACCTTTTTTTTTTTTCCGTTTTAACCGACGACGCCGCGGGATCTGCTTTCGCATTGCTTCCGCGGCGCCGCCATCGTACAATATAGGTACCTATAATAATAATATATTCTAACATCATGTTACTGTGTAATATACAAAATATGGTACCATTCACTCAGGGCAGACTTTGAATACAATTGACGGAGGCGACCGTTCAGTGGCGAAAAAATCAGGGGGGGGGGTCACTTGTTTATATGTTTAAAAAGAGGTTGAAAGGTGTGAAATAATACTTGCACTGGGCACTGAAAAACCTAGAACCGGTTCTATTTATATACCTACTATTAGTAGTCTATTAAATAAATATATTGTCGTATACCCATTGAAAACTGAAATATTGAAATATCCCTCCCTATTGCCTATACATCGACGCATCGGACTACATTTCCATCATATAGTTCATAAGTTCATAACTTGTATAGGCCATCTATAACGGTCTAATTTTAACTAATTTTTTTTTTGCTGCGTTCCTTACAAAGTAGTGATGGGAATTATTCAAATATTCGAATTCGAATAGGCCTATTGTAAATAATTCGAATATTCGAACATYCGAAAATCAGTATTCAATGCTACAATACAATACGTAACGAAAATTATTCGTTTAAGTTTTCGCACAACACAAAACGTTTAATAATAATATTATATGGCGCATAAAGGCTTGYGAGAAGTGGATTCGAAGACAGCGATATTTACTATTYGACAGGGCCGTTTATTAAAATACAAAAATAAAAATTGTGCAAAATACTGGAATATCATAATTAAATTATTATTAATAATAATGTATAAGTTACAACAAAAAAATAATAAATATATAAATGGTAACTACGAACAGGTAGGTACCCTGAAAGATAAGAACTATTTTCGTATTTAGGTCGATCAATCATTTACATACATTATCTTTAGTTGTGTAGATATGAATTAGTTATTAATAATAAATAGTATAAWAAGCTTGCCACGGAAAAACGGATAAAACAAATTACCTAGGTATTGTAGCATCAAATACTGATATTCGAATATTCGAATTATTTACGATAGAACTATTCGAATATACATTACATTACTACTGCAAAGGTTATAGGCTACTTTTCGTTAAGAAATCCAACTCTTAAATGTTGACTTAAAATGAATTTAGGGTAGGTACTTTTCGGTTATCGTATCCCAACGGTCGGCCGGCCGACCGCGGCGGACGTGGTCGGGAATTCGGGATATACCGATTCCGTTATCGTACCCCATTATATTTATCTCAATATTGTCTAACCTAACCGTCAAGACGTTAACTCGTTAACGCGAGACCCGTCGATGGCCCCAATCCGTCTCAAGGTTGTAAATTGTAATATGCATTTACAATGGCGCTCAAAATTTTTTTGTGAAGTGAAACCTATAATTGTTTACCCACCCACCCATCTACATTTTTCGGCCATCTAATATTATCTGAAAACACACTCGACCATTATACATAGAACACCTGATTTAACTTTGTTAACTCATTAATAATCGCCGCTACTCCCTAGAAAGAACTCACCCATACCCGCCGAACCATTTAAAGAAGCGATCGYTWCCCATGATTTAAATAAGTTCAGTGCCACTGTGAATATATTATAATAATATTATGATGTATACCATGTGCTACTACAGAGCTTAGAAGCAGAAATGCATGGAGCTAGGTCACCCTGTGTCCATTTATATAGTTATATGTATACATACTGCAATTAAATCGCTACAACGTTTTTTAAAGAATCTAATGTTGCAGTGTTACTCACTCATCGGCATCGCTATGCCATATCCTTTGGAGTCGAGCGTGTTGCCGATTTCCATCAGGTTGCAGTTGCGTTCCGTCTGATACTCGATGCTCGACGATTCCATGAGGAAAGCGTACCGGCCTTTACCCTTGAGTACCCGGTCAACGCCCTCCTGATTACTCTTCGTAAAAACTGTCGGATTGGACGCTTCCATCACGCTCCACATCCTCTGGTACAAACTCAAGTTCGATTTCTGAACAATATATATAATAGGCATAGTACATCGTCATTACAACAGCTRATTCATTATCATGAATATAATTTAAAAAAGGCAGCGTGTGGAACATTATTTTTATTTTTTTTTATAAAAAAGAGACTTTAGAGACCTACACTTTTTCTATACCTACCACCATCGCCAAATGATGAAATCATTTCAAATCAAATCAGTATATATTTTAGTTTTTTTTTTTTAAACATAGGCATTCCAACTGAAATTTTCATTCAAATAAGAAACAAGTCACTGAATGTATGCGTTTGAATTGTATGAATGGTCCACTTCATTATTATTAGCTAAGAGAGTAATACAGTAGGTAATTGTTTTTTAATACTTTGTAGCACTTAATGACAAAAATGTCAATTTATAGCTTCCAAAAATGTCGAAGTTGT